GGGGAATCAGCAAAGAGGAGATCCATGCATGGTTTGGGGGTGGCATCACTGAGGCCGCAGTGAGGCGTTAGAATAGAAGCAGTGCGCATATACGTAATACACCATGTGGAGAGATAGTAAGTACACTGTACGAGAAGGCGCAGACTGAACTACTACTAAGCGCTACCTTGAACGGAAATTCAGGGCCGCAAGGATGGTGGTGGGAAAAACAGTGAATAAGTACTGGTTGGGGAGCTGCTCAAGTTCAACTTGTTAGGAGCGAGCCAACACTTTGCGCAAAGGTGGAAAAGTGGCAAAGGGTACCAAACAAAGGACTTGAAGAAAATAGAGCGTGCGTAGATCTCGTCGACAATGTATTGTATATATCATGTAGATACAAACACATCTCAGACGCACGGTATCTATATCAGGTTGGAATGTCGCCGACATGACCTGATAGCGACTTGTCAAGCGCTGCTGAACCAACCGATTTGACTGCAGATAGACACGCTTATAACCTGTGAACGGATGGACAACGAAGCGTGTCAGAAATCGAGGGCAGGTGGGCCAAATCATGATCTGTTAACTCAGCAAATATTCAGTCAGTATGTTGCGAGTGCGACGGAAAATAAATACACTCACCCTGACATAACTATTAAGCAATTGCATCGAAGACAGGACGTAGCTATAAGATTATGATAGTTATAAGCTATGAATAGATTGTCCATTCTTCCGTCAGAGGATAAAGATTGATAGCGGATCAATGTACAGACGTCGTGACGAGAACTGATATATTTGGTCGGAAGTGCTTGACCTCGACAAAGAAGCGATTCGCTCATGTCTAAACAACGGACGCTTAGTAGCTTAAATCAGCGAGGCTCGAGCTTACAACAGGATAAACTCGCTCACATTCTAAGAAAAGCGGAAAATGACTTCTAAGGTACATTGGAAACCTCATGATCTGGAAAAAGTGGGAAAAGACCTCGATCAGCACGGCTCGAGCCCGAAGGAGAACGAAAATACTCACGAGATGCGAACATTAGACTCACTATCATCATGCGAACAATGCAAAACCGTTTGGGCCAGAATGTTCCATAATGTGATGTGTCAATAAACAAAGTCCGCAACGTATTAAATGTCACATGTTGATGTGACGCGTCCAAAACTTCCATTATCCATCACACGTCCATCACATACTCCCTTGTCACTACATATTGCTTCTTTATCCATGGCGGTGGTAACACGATCGATGAAGGAAAAAATGGATAAAGCCACCTTTTACATCTTAATACACACGAAACAGGTGAGCGAGAGCCTCTATTTTGATAAGTACTGACAATTCAATAGAAAACGACACTCAAAGGCTGTGGTACAAGAAGGCCAAACATTGTACACATTTACAAACGCCCTCTACCAGCCAACTCTGTCTCGCGCGGAACAAGGAGCGGGGTACACATGAAACGTCCTGTGGAGCCATTGGTAAGTAGACCGCACGTGTCGTTTTCCAAACAACTGACATCAGCAAGGATGAAGACACGGCTTCCAATACTTTGGGATCGGAAGATGGCTTAGTTATTATTGCTACACAAGAGAATTCCGGAGATGGAATGGGACAGGATGAATCATGTGAAGCGATGGTGAGCTGCTGGTATCTTTGTCCAGGCGACGCTAATTCACCAAACTCTTTTTAGATGGATGCCACGAACGGAAGTCTGTACGCTCGTTCGGACAGTTTGGTTAGTACACATACACCAGAAGCTTCCGTGGATGGAATGAGGGAGCATGAATCTAATGAAGCTATGGTAAGCTGCTTGGACTTTGGTGCGGGCGATGCTGATACTCCACCCATTTCAGATGGATGCCATAGATCCGATCCAGCACGCTGGGCCCAGCGAGTTCCCTATTAAAAAGGAGGAACATTACCATGAGGTGATTAAGCAGGAACCTGCTTATAATGCGTCGTTATTGTCCTCTATAGTGAGTCTTGGCAATCATTATCTGGACTTGACTGATATATGAAAGGATCAGGACACACGCTCCATCGCTATGCAGGTTCACAGAAGTTCCAGCCCGTCCGTCGTCAAAGAGGAATCGAAGGAGATGGAACGTGCTCTCATGTTTCACCTGATGGGGTGTATTGCCCGTCGTTAGTTCACTTCTGAAAAAGTATTTCATAGCTTTGTACACAACCGTCTGTTACTGTTACATTAACGAATATATGATACTTTGCGCTATAGAAGTCCGGGCGTTACATGAGATATTGAACATTTCAATATATTGTCTGGTATAATCGTATACGGGCGCGCAGATCTACTGCAGAGCGTATGATATCCTGTCAATGCCTTGAACTGCTTTAGATGAAGGACAACAATATGAAAGATGCAGACTCATGTCTGGACATGTGCTCATCCTTCTGTACTTATTTTCAGGGACAGAGATACGGAAAATATCTTATATAAATGTCTGATTTTGTAAGAGTGCCAATACAACCAAACGACCGCAGGTCATCGCTTGTATTTTTATAAGTACTAAAGAATAAATAGAAAGCGTCACGGACACCATCTGTATCAACATATAATATAATGCATACACCTGTTGGGGGTTTTGACCGTGTTCCTTGATCTATCTACATGTCCATAATACATCCATTTAAATGTCCTCTCTTTTTCTCCAATTCTCTATAATACTCGCGCATCTCCTGAGTGTATTATGCTTCTGGACGTCCTTCATCTCTTCCTCTAGCCAAGCCGACTCCGTTTAATCCGACCCGGCATCTTATCTATCCAATCGTCTGGCCTGCGATCTAAGACGATCACTTCATCGTCGTCATCTGTTCGTCCGCGTTTCGTCCTATTCGGCTTGTCGACCCAGTTAGAAGGCTTGTGATCTAAAACTAACACGTCGGAGGAGGAGTCAGAAGATTCAGACCCGGTGTCGGATGCGTTGTCATCGGAGGAGCCAGAAGATTCGGACTCCGTCCCAGATGCATTGGCATCGGAGGAGTCATAATATTCAGACTCGGCAACGGCTTGTTCTTCCGCATTAATTCGAACTGTTGTATTAACGCTTGAGTACAGAAAGAAAATACATAAGTAAAATGATCGCTTACCATAACTGCACAGCTGTTGACATGCGATGCACGCTTCGCCCGTTCGTCCTCGGCAAATCCTTTTTATGTCCTTGCAGTGATTGCAGCGCGGACGCATTTTGCGAACCGCGCGCATTACGGGGGTTCGCCTTGGGGGAGGTCCTAATATTGTGAACAATTGTAAGTGAAGAGGGATGCAGAAGTACGGCGACGGCTTACCTGGTAACAGAGAACAACGGTCGCAGCATCTTCTGCATGGTGATGAGGAAGAATACGCATAGCATGGTACGTTGTCAGCCATGCAGGATGCACATCCCGGCTCCATCAAGGTAAGCTTGGGCGCCGTAAACATGGATGTGAGATGAGAAGTTGGAATAGAGAATTGGTGGGTCGGCAACGAGCCTTTCAAGAGTTCACGAGAGTAATAAATGTCCACAGTGGACGTTCCAAAATCCGTCTATTGTATTTTTGCACCCGAAAATATCCACAGTGGCCGTCCCAGATTCCATTATGCTACACAAAATGACAGTAGACACAATTTCACAATTATGTCCATCACGCAACATGTGGATATATAATTTATTGTAAATCTGAGCTCGACCGCTATTTTATACATAAATGTATTAGCATTCCGATGCGATGGGTATATTTCAATCGACTTTATGAAAATCACATATATATGACGTTTACAGTTTGATATCGGAGGACATCTTAGTCGTTTACGGTACGCGACAAGCTTCAATACATTGAATGAGGAAGAATGAGGCTTGTAAAGCAATTGTGATTGCTGAGATTTTGGTCGAGGCGAAGCTGATGAGCCAAACTGATTTCAGATGGATGCCGCCGTAGACATCATTCAGGACGCCCGTTCGGACAACTCAGTTCGTACCCTATACCAGAGGCTTTGGTGGATGCAGTGAGAAAAAATGAATCTTATGAGGCGATGTTGAGCCCATGCACATCATAAAATAAGAACCGAAGTAGATGGAACTGTTTCAGATGTCTCACTTGATGGCATGTATTGCAAGTCGTTAGTCCATTGCTCACAAAGTATTCCATAGCCTGGTACACAAAACTCTGTTACTGTTACATTAATCAATACATGATGCATTCGTGCTATAGCAGTGCACATATCACATGGGATATTGAACGTCTAAATATACTGTCCAGTATTGTAGGATGAGGGTCCGTAGATCTACCGAAATGCGCGTGATGCCCTTTCAACTCCTGGAATCGCTTCAGATGGTGGACAACAGTATACGACATGCGTACTCACGTCTGGACCAGCCTGTATCAATCAAAAAACTTGGGATTGACCTTCTCAAGACCGCTGCAAAACCAGAGAAATGCTTCTACCAAATTATTGTACCTTCCTGCATCCGTGGAATCTTTCACAATCCATGCCACGAAGTCCTCATAGCTCGCCAAAGATGCTCCTTCGCCGATCTCGTTTATCATTAACTGTCGAAATCCTGGGTTGTGCCACATGCAAAATACCGCCTTGAAAATGAACCCAGCGAATGGACATTTTTCACCTTTACGGTACGAAAAGCCTGCATGGCATGCTGGTTCCTCCCCGTTTCTGTTTCGCGATTGGGGAAGGCAGCATTGAAAACAATAAGTGTAGCGTTCGAATGAGAAGCTCAATTTGAAAGCTCCATACAAATCCATCGAAAGAACGGTGTCCATGGTGCACCTGTGATTGGCTGCTGGGACAAGACAACCGCCATTACCAAAATGTGACGGACACTTGTCCTTTAAGACCTTCATGTACTTGTCCAGGCGGGCAGTGCTGGAGAGACGGTTATGAAGTGAGGTGTTTACTGCGCTCGCTCGTGATACGAATGTACGAGACACACTGGGAAGCGATGAGGTCGATGGAGTCTCGATATGGACGGCCCTTCCTAGAGATGGCTGCGATTTGGTCTGTCAAAATAAGTAAGTATAATCGCCTGGAATTTTAACACATGCATACCGTATATGACTTGTCTGAAGATTCACCATTACCCTAAAACAGGTACAGAATCAGCTCCCGTACGATATCACACATAATACATACTCACCTTACCATGGATTTCCTCCATGGAGGTCGAGCATCAAAGCCTGAAATGAAGTGAGCTCTAATGCACCCGCGTCGTACAAAGCAGCGCTCGACTGAGAAGGCTGGGGGGTGATCGTGTGGGACTGTACAGTTCGCATATAAACATACAATAGGATTGTGGGTATATTTAAAAACTCACAATCATATTCATCGAAAGAAGCGACGACACTGGCACAAATCCAGTAGATAAGGGCGGAGGAGCATGCATGGGTGCTTGAAGCATAGATCCACTTGCAAAAAACTGGGGTGACTGCATGCTCGGAATGCCTCGGGTGGCCTGAATGGGTTTTGCTATTGCCTGAATGGACAATCGCTGCATGACGCTGTTCGGATCACAAACGTCGCAATGGATCCCTGGAGGGTAATCCGTGCACCGCACAGCGAGGTTGTGGCCATCCATGCAGGTCATGTTGGCGAAGCGCCGACATTCCGTACCGTGTACTAGATCGTCCAACTCTCCGATACATTGATCAGTCGGTGGTCCTCCTGTATGTCTTCGCTCGTCTGTCAGTAAGGAAAATACTGTGAGACTCCTTTCCGTCTCTGCCTGCACGACTCGAGCATCTGGTTGTTGACGAGAAGGCCGTACGAAGGTTTAAAGATCACAACATATCGGACGTGAGGCCTGTCCATACCCTGGGCAAATGCTGTGGTGCATGCCATCACCTTTGTATTCGCCTGAATCCCACCGAGAAAGGTTAGATGCTCTGCTATTTCCAGCCTCCCAGAGATCGCTATGATAAACCGCACAATTGGCCTCACTGCGAATGCTTGTGCGTCCCCCTGGGAGCCGCAGAAAACCAGAATACGTTCCTCCTCAGCAAGTAGTTTGCATAGAGCGGAGACGAGGTGTCCCAGAGACTGCATGGCCGCGATAGGCTGTATTTGTATGACATGCATCCCGATCTCTGGACGATTTGTATCCGACCCGAACTTGCGTGACGATGCCAAGATGCAATCCAAATGGTTTGATGAAATTTGCGATACGGTGCGGTGGTCCCGTCCCTGTCATAAGCACAATCCTGATTAGCGTCTTTCCGAATTGCTGCGCGAGATTTTTCCATGGAACAACTCGTCCTGGATGACAGTTCATGATGTCGTGGAATTCGTTCTACAAACACCCTGTTGAACTTCCGTCCGAGTGGAGATACAAGGAAGCTATCGTTTAAACCATTAGCCATGTCCAGACCTTATAGGTTTACAGCTACCTTTCAAACGGATGCGACGAGCAATGCTCTACCTGCACGAACAAAATCTGTGCATTCTCCGGAACGACCTTGGAGACGCAGTAGTTGTGGCAACGTAGTCCAGTAGACGCGGTAGCCATAAACTGTTGGTCCAGCAGAGCTACGAACGGGCACACCACAATAGACCTGGAATTTTCATCCATCACTGATGGAATCATCCACGACATGCTCTTGCCGCCTCCTGTCCTCATCGTGATGACGAGGTCCGTATGTGCTGACATTACTGCCATTAGAATGTCCATCTGATCGGGGGTCCTTTTCTGTTGCACTATCGTCCTTCCTGATGTGTCTGATCGCTCGTTCTAATGTCTCTTGAACCGTCCTGAACGGCGCTTGGGGGCGATGATGGTGTACCAAAACTAGTGACTGCACGTTTTGATGGGCTGCATTCGCCAGAAAACAAGCTAGCTGCATCGATCGGCATCTGTTGGACTGATGCTGCGGTCTTACAAAGACGTTTGATAGGCATGTTCTCGTCTGGGCTCGAGTCCTCACCGCTGCTAGAGAGGCTGATGACCTCCACAGGCACCTGGGGTACTGATGTTCTCGACCCACGAAGGCGTTTCAGCTGTATAGTATCAAGACTGGACAACTCCTCGTCGCTGGAGATATCCATCACCTCCGAAGACAACCTGCGAACGTGTTTCGTCGATTCCGCGACGCGTTCTAATGATAGTTTGACCCGTGGTGCGTACTTCCGTGCGCGGTGTGCAGTTGGTGTGACTGGGTATGAACCGGACGTAGATGGGATGGAATTGTGATGCGAGACACTGCGAGGCGCGTGTTTTCTTCTGGACGCTCTAGCTGGATTGGCGAATGCTCGAGAATGGATGTTCTCATAGTCGCCACGCTTCCGTTTCCCTTTGATGTCTGCGATAGGAGATATAGACGACGACATGACGCCATCAACCAATGGAGGTTCTGGTGTTTCATAAGCTCTGCCCTTCCCTTTGCGATCTTTGAATGGAGGAAACTCGGACTGATGCGTTGTTGGGACCACGTCGGAGAATGTCGTGGACCCTTCTATGTATTCGGTCTGTGAGATGCTCGTTATCGACGATACTGGGAGTGGGGAGTCCGAAAGCATTTCTCCGCATTGAATATAACCACTTGCAGTGGGCGACACAACAACAGGGGACGCGTTAACTGGCGCATTCAATCATTTTTTAAATTGCATAACATTGGAGCTCGGACTCACCACTGTTGTTATTGTACCCACTGGGACCTGATGAGGAAGCAGGGTCTCGCCGGATACCTGCAAAGCTAATGAGATGTTGGTGTCGATACAACGCATAGTGGTGCTCACCTTCGCTTTCTTCATAGAACATGGCGTCCAAATTACTGCTCAAGTGAAACGATCCCCCGTTCCATGTTGTTGGAAGTGGCGATGAAATTTCCGGTGCATCATCTGTCGCGTCTTTTAGCTGTTTGATTATGGCTGTAGAAATTGTGTCCTTCAAGACGTCAGTGCGGTGTGCGTCCAAAAACTCTTTGATAGTTTCTTGCGTGGTCTTCTTGACCACATCTGCGATGGCCTGGAGCGTCGTCCCGTTAGACATATTCTTGTGCCTGATTCTTATTGCCTCTGGAGGCGCAAGGGGGCCAAGACCAAGGACACTGTGCCACTGATCTCCAAGCCATCTGTGCTTGCACATGCTGTTGTTGGACAATCTAGGGACGACTCCTTGGACGATGCCGTAGTGTGTATGGTCCACACCAGTGGAGTGATCTGCGGATTCAGCGAGGATGTTGTCGGCTTGATCATAAGAGTCGTCTGGAGCGATGAATTCACGACCAATGGTAATCGCGCCCTGGCGGAAATCCCTGACTCCCCATCGACAGTCGAAGTAATCATGGTTCCACTGCTGAATGTTGGCGGAAAACCTTGTAGGACTTGTCCTCACGCCCTCACCGACGCAGAGGTACCTAACATTACATGAATGCATGTGTAAGAGTGGTTTCCATAATCATGGATGGTTCAGGACAATGCTCACGTTCTGTACAGATGCTCGGCCTCTGCCCCATATGCAACCCCAGCAAGGATGGCTTCGGCGGTGCGCAACCCCCCTGCAATCATTTCGAGCACCAAGAATGCGATGTCCTTCGGAACGAACCCTGGGGTGCATGAGTCTCGATCAGTAATGCCGGTCCTTTTGCTGTAAGCTGTCAGGAGGAACATCTCCATCCCCTGCATGAAGAGGTTGCGATGCCTGTCCGAATTGCTGATTTTGTGGTCTACGAACTGGGTTCCGCGACATGAGATGTGAGTGGTGATGTACAGAAGATGGTAGATGGGCTCCCAGACGCATGACGAGCGTCTGAGCAGATCCTTGATGCCGGGGATGTTCCATGCGATTCGTCCTGCGTTGTCGACCATTGCCAGGTCGTAGTGATCAACCAAGTAAAAGAACATGGCGTGGCGATTTTTAAAAAAGGGGTCCTCCGATACGAGCGAATAGCCACGAGTAGAGTTGGTGAGGTCGTCCTTGACCTGCTCTGGCACCATCTTCAACATGAAAATGTCATTGGTGAGGGCGGAATAGCGCGACTTTGACACCTGGAGGAGCCTTTGTATCCCGTCTCTCAGCTTGTCCATGTGCATGGTGTGGACGCCTATCGTGATGGACTTGACGTCTGGATCGACATAGACATTGGGTTCTCTGGTTTGACTAAACACCAAAGAGGACGCATATTGCTGCATCTCATAGATGATGTTGAACGTAGTCGGACGGCCGAGGCGTAGCACCCGATCATGAACACGAGCAACGCGGCTTGAGATAAAAAGGCATGATAAGTGTATCGAAGCGAATGAATGGGGAGACTTGCTCACTCATGGTCGTCTGAATGTACTGAGTCCGTATCCTCGTCTTTGTCCATCAGCGCCTCAAGGAGGGATGTGACGTTGCAAAGATATTTAAACTTTGCAAGATCTGGTGTGAGGACGGACGCTTCACAGAAGTTTCCGTCCGCACGCAACGCCCTGAGCCAGATGGCTCGTTTGATAGGGTTTGCCCATCGCTGGCCCACGCACAAATCTGGATCGGTATCGACTAGGGACCACGCCAAATTATGGTAGAAAATCATCCTCTTTCGTGGGGAGGCATTCTCGTCGCCCAGCACAGTCACAAGTTCCTCGAGACACAGGGTCTGCGCAGCAGACAGCTCGAACGAGAAATCCAATGGGAATCCGAGGTGAACGCGCATGATCGCCCTCATGAATTGAACAATGAAGCCTGGATACTCGACGTTTTCATCCGACACAGGCCTCCAATGATTGTCCCTATACGCGTCCATCACGGTCAATAATGGAATTATTATGGTGCGATAGCACTGCTCACGTTTCTCGCGGTATTGCGTCACCATACAACAGTATTTTAGACAGGCTCAACCTATGAGGATGACCATCCAAGATGGTCGATGCCCTAGCCATGTGGTCTTGCACTGCAGCAGCGAGACGGGTCAGAATTCCGCCAAATTCATCATCGCTATGCTTTTTTTTGATTTGTTCCGCTGCCCGCCTCCGGGCTGGATTCATCCGGAGTTCTACCTCGAACCTGTCCCAACCCATGAAGCGTATCAGGGGAGTCCTCTCCCGTTCGGTATTGGCTGGAACGACCAATGAAAGCTCAACTGCAGGTAGGAATGTAGCCTTAAGCGTGGATTTGAGATTGGGTCTCGCAGATGGAATGACGTTTTGCCCAACCTCGAAATACGAGTTGCCAACAGCAGTAAAGATATGTTGGACCAGACAAGACCGATACTGGATCTCCTGTAAGCCGGTAACGCTGTGCTTCTCTCTACTATGGCGCTGAATGGTTCCTAAATCCTTCACGGCATACACGCAATCAGCGGATGCAGTGCATGAAAAACCTTCAACGGGGGACGCAATCATCTGTACAGGTGGTCCACCTGCTGTTGGTAGCTTGACATGCTCTGGCTTCTCGTGAACATTTGACCGCGAACAATAGTCCAGGAATGACTCCATGGTGGATGAAGGTACCTAGTAGTTACGTGGGATGCCCATGTCAAATTAGAGTGCGGCCGTACAAGGGATGAACGTACCTGATACGCATGATGGTGCTTTTTCCTGTGTCCAGAAACCATCCCGGAGGTCAATGCGACCTTGCACGAGTAGCAGATAAGGAACCTCAAATGGCTGTGAAAGCACACGCCGAGAGAATCTAGAACCTCGTTGGACATCAAGTAGTCTACTGATGGCGACAATGAGACAGTGCTGGAGTCCATATCAAAGGAAGGATCTGCGTATGCGAGATGGACGCTACGTTAAGCGGTGACCTTGAATTTTCATTATATGTATGTTCACCTCTGCTGCAGACATCCTCACGGGATGGACCTTCTGGGACTAAATCGTCGGACCAGACATCCTCTGGGCCTTGATAAATGGGTAAACATGTGACAGCATAATATGACGTGTTAAGACTGACATATGAGGTTGCCAGTCCCATCGCGGACACCGCTGTCCTGATCGAGAACCTGTTTGGAGGCCACAACTATTGAGGTCAGTGCGACTTGATGGTGGCTCGATCTGTAATGAAACTTACGACACTCAGGAGCATCAAAGACCTTGATTTTGACTGATGCGTTGTGTGCGACGTTGATGTGCTTCTGAATAGCTTCACGCTTTTTGGAAATGAACTTACACTCCGGGAGCGGGCACGAATAATGTCCATCGGATTGGCCTACAACGTACTCGTTCCCACCAATCAGGAATGGTATAGGGACGGAGTGGTAGCGGTATCGGTGCTTTCGCGCGATGTCGCAGGTCGGGAATGGTCCCATGCCGCATCCTGGGTGGTCACAGACGTCGTTGTCCGACATTTATATCAGTAAGCAGAGTATATGCGATGATAGATTGATAGATGTGATACTTTATCGTTGGATGGCGGATGAATGGCGCTGGCGAGGTTTTATAAGACTTCAAACATACGGGCCTGCACCTGCAGGGACGAAAAAAAATGTGAAGGCGTGGCATGGTAAAAAAAAACGATGGACTAATGACAGCATTTACGAAAATATCAAGACGAAAACGAGACATGGTGATCTCGACGTACAGTGATCGGAGGAAGGCGATTGCAATTCTGTTTGAGCACTCATGATATGTTAGGTTAGATCATTATACATAGAAAATAAAGGTTGATGTCACCGGAAATGAGTCTTCTCACTCGAGGTTCATCCACATAAAGACACGTACTTGTCTTTATCTAGTTAATGCGATCGAAGCGCCCCCTAAAAAAAACTCTTCAATGTTGGAATGAATGGAGGGTACAAAAATGAGACGCAATGATCGGTGACATTTGCATTATGGTCCCGTGTCCAATCATGTTCCGGGCGGATGGGACTCTAATGGCAGCCGTGAACATCGGATGAAAATAAATGTCGTTCGTGGATATGCGCATTGCGCCCAATGGCAATGGTGGAGTAAAGCTATTTTTAGACAGTTAAAGATTTGGCATGGGCAGAGCCCATATCCTTTACACTGGTTGCGAATATCTCACCAGAATACCTCAATAAGTAGTCACAGCTCGTGTACGACTCATTGCATCGATCGCCAGGAAGTCCATACTTGGACACGTCCTTGGCCCAAACAGGGATGGACGAATGATATACATGAGCCGTCGACCCTGCTGAAAAAGATCGAACGGCACATGCTAGTGTCTCAGTAAGGGCTTCATAGATCAACAGGCGACCTAGAACATGCAGGCATCTCAGATGCTTCCAGGCATGCGGACGTGTTCTCCCATGAACTGATATCTGTGGCGCAGAGGTGATAAAGAAAATGAGTTTAATGACCTTGGATGTATTTTCGTCGCTTGCGAAGGATGCCAGCATCACTGACAAGCATGTCGACATGTGATGGAACGTCCGCAACACAATGCAGCTGACACCTGCAGCCATTATCTGGTCTTTGAAATCAAGGATGGTCCAAAATAAAACGATTGAATATGTCCAGGAGCTTGTTCACCAGCTCCCGACCTTTCTATACATCCATTATATGACACCTGGAGCTGACTCGATCTTCAGTGAGATAGATGCACCAAAATGAAATGATCTCTTTTCATGAATCATATACGACGCATGACTTCAAACCGATGTGCATCAGGACAGCGATGAACAAGAGCAGTAAAATAGAACGCTCCAAGGTATATTATGATCTATATACGCGGGTCAAAGTCGCTGGTGATGACGTGGATAAAGAGACATAAAAGAAGCAGTCACGGCCTTGATCATTTTCTTCAAAGCGCCGATAGCAAGAAGAAGGCAAGTTTTTAAGTGATCCTGCTGTCACTCGAGTCACGAAAGCCTGGTTTTTATTTTAAGACTCGTAAATATACGAGTGTAAAGACTGAGAAGGAGCTCACAGAAAGCTGCTGGAGATTCACAATATGACTAAGTCCATCACAAGCGACTCGGACAGGGTGATGCCTGAAATTCTAAATAACGCCGAAGATACTGGATAAGTGAGGTTGACGCCTATGGATCTAAATAAGGGAGGGTGACGCCTAAGATATTGGACACAGCGAGGGTGACGGGGTGACGCCTATAGATCCAAATAAGGGAGGGTGACGCGTAAGATACTGGATACAGCGAGGGTGACGGGGTGACGCCTAAGATACTGGATACAGCGGGGGTGACGGGGTGACGCCTATAGATCCAAATGAGTGAGGGTGACGCCTGAGATACTGGATACGGCGAAGGTGACGGGGTGACGCCTAAGATACTGGATACAGCGGGGGTGACGGGGTGACGCCTATAGATCCAAATGAGTGAGGGTGACGCCTGAGATACTGGATACGGCGAGGGTGACGGGGTGACGGGGTGACGCTTGCGGCAGTTCCAAGAGGACATAATGGCGGATGGGAAAAAGAAGCGAGGGTGACGGACAGCCACTTACGACACCTCATGGGAAAAGAAGGGGTGACGCTGACAGCGCCAAGGGCAAAAATGGCGGATGGGAAAAAAAAAGTGAGGGTGACGGACAGCCACTTACGTGATGGACTTCCATTTATGGACGGGGTGACGGGGTGACGTTTACAGGGGTGCGCCCGTCGCACCAAATAGATAGAGTCAATACATTAGGGGCAATTCTTGTTCAAAACCTTGAATACATTTTTGACCGGCGAATAACTACTCGTGACTCGTCACGGTCTCTGCCTTTATACTACACAAAGGGATAGGTACAACTACACAAAGGGATAGGTACAACTACACAAAGGGATAGAACTACACAAAGGGATAGGTACAACTACACAAAGGGATAGAACTACACAAAGGGATAGGTATGTATATTACTGGTATAAGTCAGGTTACCGCGACTAGTCGTGTCAATACGCCCTCGTTGAACATCAATCAAATGGCAACGACTCTGAGCCAGACTCATAGTACTCTTACAGATGCTGACTTATTGAAACTAGGCATACCCTCATGGCCATCAAGGTTGCAAATGTATTCAAAAGCTGTGATGCAGTAAGTCCTTCGACTTGAATCAGCGCGACTTCCCGGTCAGTGTGACTACTAGTACTAGTACTAGGTCAGTTACGACGATGTAGTGCCAGTTCGCTGCAGCACAGTCACAGTGCCAGCCTGACTTGGAGCACCTGGGCCTGTCATGGACATCTCTAATTTTTTTATTCATGATACTAGTGATTCTGCGCTTGGCCCTGACTACTCGATAAAGTGCAAACAGGTTGATGGCTTCAGGTGGGTTGAGTTAGTCCTTGTCCTACTGAACCAAACTGAATACGTCATTCCCGAAGGAAACACAGCTACGGTGTCTGGCAAGGAATCGTGCATCCTTCAGGAGTATTGTATTATTTCGACGTCTCAATGGTAAGTAAATATTCATCGGTAATTCTTGTCTGTCGCATATCTCACAATCAGACAGAAAACATATACAGGAAGCGATGTGAAAAAATACACGCCTAATCAATTGAACAATCTTCAGAACTGGATAAGGGCAGCACGCAGGAGATTGCAGGAAGAAACATGGTATATGGTCGTAAAGCCTGTTACAAGAGAAGACAGAGACTACTACGAATACTATTGCGTGGTCCCGGATGCCCGCATCATTGCTTGGTTTGAGGATTTTAACGCCGACCTTCTATTCCAGGAATGCGCCTTTGCGAGAGAGTGGAACCACAAGAGCAAGTTCTATTCCCCAATGAACGTGTTCCGATTATGCTGATAATTCCATGGTGGTGTCAGGGCTCGAGCTGGAGGCACAATTTTGGTGAGAACATGTTGATGAGGTAGAAAAGAGACTTCTAGGATACTAACACGAATTTTTTTCAGGAAGCACATTGATTTCTTTCCAAGACATTATAGCATGCAACGCTCGGATGCTACTGAGCTACGCGCACACTTAGAATGGTATCTGGCAGGTAAGAAACACATCTTGTATCAAGCAATGACTGATATCAAAGAATAAATGATAGAGGGGTTGATTCTGGAACAATCGACTGCGGCATCATTGTTTTGGAGCACCGACCAAACGGAGAAAGTGATCGCTCGCCTTATTAGCTTTGGTACTTCGCAAGACATTATGCAACCTTTTCCTTTTTTTCAACAGAATTGCAGAGAACCTTCTCAACTCCGATGCATCCTTGAAGGAACAAGGCGTCGCATACTGTGGTGCGCTTATGTTGATCGCGGCTCTCGTTCGAATACTAAACTGACTCGCATAAACTAACAGGAAGGATATGGAATATTTTACGTAAGTGACAGGATCAGTGCTCCGAAAATTTAGTTTTAATTTGCTGGAAAGGCCATCACCAGTTTCTCAACTACTATGGTTTTCCAGAAGCTCGTCTGATGCGGACCCATTCAATTGAGGGAAGCAAACGAAACCGAAATATCCGTTTTTTATCTTTGCTATCGACAGCTGCAATGTTTGGTGTTCCAGTGATGGTATTGGAGCATGTTGAAAAACTTCACGTTGACGGTATTGTCAATCTGCTTGATATCAAGAAATTCCTTGACCATTTCAACGACGATAACATAAAGCACAGCACTCTGGTATGTGATTTACCATCAACGTACACTTTTCTGATATTCGTGTCCTTGTTCTTTCCCACTGCCCAGGCGGGCGTTATCATGGCAGTAGATGCTAGCATACTTGCTATTCCGAATATTGGTTCCCAAGTAACAACAAGAACACTATGCTCTCTTTCACTTATCCTTAGCGTCCACTGCATTTTTGCGGGCGTTGTGGCACAACACTTTGGGCAGAAGATGAAGTCTCTTCAATTTGCCGTGCGCTCAAGTTCAATAGATTATTCTTGCGGTTATTTTCTCACCCGAACATTTTAACAGTCTCATAACTTGCAATACCACTTTACGAAGGTTGCTATCATCTATAGCGCTCCTAGTTTGTTGCGAACGACAAGGTATTTTCTCACTCACTTGAATCTATCACAATAGTGATGAATATGTGTTATTCAATAGCGTAGCATTATCTACTCTGGGCCTTTTAGCTGGTATTTTCACAGTGCCAGATCGGTCTTTGATAACAACCATACCGTGCATGATCACCATGGTTTTCGTTGGAGGATTTTTGACTTGGTCTTCAGTTTCCATTTCTCGTCAACATCTAATGCACGGGGTTAGAACAATGTCTTGATTTCACAAGAAATCATCGCAGTCAATAGATTTCAGAAAAACTTCGTGTAGATTGTAATGAGATCCGTGCTATTCACTTAGTATCTGAGCACCTCAAAGCATCAATGAGCCCTTTCTCATCAATTATATTACTGGAACTCCTCATTCCTGAGCCAAATATCTAA